GTTTGAGAAGCTTTGAAGATCTTGAACAACGTTGACCGAAGAATTCAAAAACTCGAATAGAAACCTCAACCTCTCGGCGGAGCTCTTGAAGATTTAAGAACATTACTTTCTCTCTCTAAAAGCTTTGACTTCTCTCTAGAAAACACAAAAATCCAAAGTGTTTTTATCAAGTTAAACAAGTCCTATTTATAGGTAAAATTTATGAGGGCAAATTGATAAAACCACTTTTCCCGCCTAGAAGCTCAAACAGTAACTTTTGAAAAGTTTAACCTAGAAGCCAGAACGGTTAAAAAACCGCTCCGTCATTTAAGACGGGAAAATGTACGGTCACCCTAACGATGCGTCAAAATAGACGACCTGGTTAGCAGAATTCGAACTGTCATTCCGGAAACTACGGAGGTCAGATGTTAAGACTCAAGTTCACTAATGAAATCAGGCGGGTTGATAAAGGCAGCAAGCCCAAAGGAAAAATCCCTTGGATGGACGGACGGTACTGTCCGTCTCTTATTAATTATAATGCTCCATCAGCTCGACATTCGGACAAAACTAGACGAATAACATTCAGAGGTGGCGGCCCATATGGTATGAGCCACTCCCTCTAAGGGGCAAATGTTTAGGGTAAAAAATACCCCTGACACGCGGACCAATCCTATTGTGACACGTGGCCCAATAAATGGGTGACACGTGTCCCAATAGGAAGCTGACGCGTGTCAAACATAAGAGCACCTGAAATGAGAGAAAAAGGCCCCCTTACATCAGGAGGCCCAAGTCCCGAGAAAACCGCAAAACGACGCCCTTAAAGGACACGTGCCCTCACATGATTGCGCCGCCAATCAAAGCACACCATTCTAGGTCATCAAACCCTAGATGACACACTTCCTACCCCTATAAGTACCCCAATCATTTATGATGGGAGGGGTGGATTAAGACATATCATTCAAGAGCACTAAATAGCTCCAACTTCTGTCTACTTTATCTCTCTACATTACTTCATTTTCTGATCACTAACTAGATCGTCGGAGGCGAATATTCCGTCAACTGGAATATTCGTTGTTTTGTAGGTGTCCGAGTCCATCCGGCCGTGTTCAAGACCTATATCTCTAAGGGATTCCAAAAAACCCCGAAACAAAAGCCATCTAATCAACTATCTAATTTATTAACTAATCTTTTATTTATTAACTGTGCTTTGATGAATATAGTAAGATATATACTACCGTCGTTTCTAATTAAAGTTCGACTCACTTACTATTCATGTGGTCAAAATAAAATAATTTTGACCACATTTTGTGATTTATACAATAGAAATAAATTTGCATGTGAGATCTTATTAAATTCCTCCTATTATAAATTTTCCAAATTTCAACATTTTATAATTTTCACTTATACATGGCCAAAGATATTCATGGTAAAAAAACGTTTATTGAAGACCGCGCAAATGCAAAGTGAGTCAAACTTTCAGGAACGTGGGTATTTTTTATGTAAGATTTTTTGATGTTCTACTAAACTAACTATAATGATACAACTAATACAAAGTATGACATATAGCATTGAATATTTTATTATTAAAATTATTAATTTAATATATTAAGATTGAACTTATTGGAACTTATTAGACTATATTGAACTTATTGGAAATTATTAGACCTTATTGAACTCATTAAACCTGATTAAACTTATTAGAACTTATTAGATTTGAAACTTTATTTATTTATTTATTTATTTATTTTTATATAAAAGATGAAGAGAACACACCCTTAGTGTCATTTGTGTACATCGGACTATGCCTTGTCATGCTACTCCAATTTATTAATTTATTATTTTTATATTTTATTTATTTATTTATTTTTTTAAAAAAAGCTCAACCCACGACCCAATACCAAAATATTATGTCTTATCGTACCTACCTCATGTTGTGTCACAGACCAGCTCGATTTGTTAGAGACATCCTCTTTTATTTTTTTTCTTTTTCTATCTTTTTGGCAATTGTTGAAATGAGGATGTCTACAAGGTTTAAGCCCGACTTCTAGCTTCATGTGCAAGCTTATGGGCTTTTTCAACCTCTTTCCTAGGAACATGTTCAGTACAAATCCCTACCTTTTTAAAAGTATGTTTGAGTAAACTCTTATGAACAGTGTTGAGAATATTATGCCCCTATAAATGTTTATTTACATGTATACCCCTTTTAAAAGTATGACCACACTATATGAATAGTCTTGAGATGATTATGTCCCTAAAATGTTTATTTACATATTTGCCCTCATTAATGTTAAATGTTTTTTTTAGCTCTTAAGAATAGCGGACATTTATACCCTAAAAATATTTGTTTAGCTATTTTCCTCAATTAACACTACTAACAGCGTCAAACCGAAAGAACTTTCAGACATGGCTAGCTATGACACGCACATCGCACGCGTTAGCCACCCTAGTAAATCAAAAGTATTGCTCGTAATACCCTAGAAATTCCTTCCGTTTGAAATCCCCATTAACCCTTATTTAAATAATGAAAATCTAATGTATTACCGCCATCATGATAGCAACTTAGGATTTTATCAAAGAACATAGCAGAAGGCTTCAATTGATGAACAAACACTGTGAGTAGTGGGGTACCGACTTGGAAAAAAATAAAATTCTGCAGTAGCTAGATTGTAAACCTAAATCTATGATACCATGTGTCCATGAAAGATTTTGTGAAACTCCTCAAATTAGAGTGTATTCCATTGATCATCTATAGGGTTGAAAACATGAGTTATAATCTTGTTAATTAGGTGATATCAAAAGATAAATATACAATATTCACAAGATATACATATGACAAGAATATCTTTACATATATTCTTTATCAATGTTGACGGACCAACTTAATCAAAAGCTTAAGTTGAAGGTTGAAGCCCAAGATTGATTTATATACTCTATCATGCCTCCTCACATGAGAGCCCGTTGGACTTGAAATGTGGATGCGGCTTGGGCCTCCCATTACCCGGCGTGAATAAATTCTATTATTTGGAATGAGGGGTGGATGAGATTTGAGCCCGTGACCTTCTTGTCATGTTGACTCTTGATACCATGTTAAAGGGGCTTAGGTCATACCCGCCACGGGAGAACTCCTGTTGCATAGAGCCTATTTACAGGCAATGCATATAGGATGGCATTGTTGTAATAAGGTTGAAGTTGTAGTGGGGACAACGTGCCAGCTGGTAGAAAGAAATAACGGGCAAAAGGAAGTGAGAACGGGGAAACCAAAATGTTAGCGGGAAAACAAAATGTTACTTTCCTCTTTTTTTTCTCTTTAGAGAAAAAGCTACTTTTCTCTTTCATCCCAAGTACGAAGGAAATATGTACTCTTCAATGGCGAATGGGGATAAATAAGATTCAAGGCATTGAAATCCTTTTCACTGATGCACCGATGGCTCACTTAAACCACTCCAATTTCGTAGATTTGACATTGGAAATTGAGGATGAGAACGAGGTTAGCTGACATTCTTGGCGTAGATTTAGCTAAAGCACTAAGTGGAGAAGATGGGCATGGCTGCGCTAGGGAGCTGCGATTCGATTGTGAAAATGTAAGTTTCGTACCTGCCTTATAGTACTTATACATTTTGAAATTTGATTTGAATATAATTTTTAAGGTTTATACGTTTAATTGACATTAATTTGGGTAATTGAAAAGAGTGATGTAGTTGTTTAGGGATGGTAAGTTTGATGTTGATGATTAAATAATTGGTTTGGCCTAGTTTTGTCGAAAAATTGAAAGAATGGTTGTTTAATTTTGGAGATATTGGGGGTATCGTATTTGGGGGATTTTGAAGTGAGTTGAATTGTACAATGTTGCTGTTTGCTAACCTTGTTTGATGTTGAAATTTTTTGCTGGTATTATGGAAATTCTTGCTATGATGTAATTTGTTGCTATGACTATGTTGCTATGATGTAATACTTGCTATAACTTTGCTGGTATTCTGGTACAATCTTGCCATGACTTTGTTATAATGTTGATGTTGTTCTATGATGTAATTTGAGGCTGTTGTTTGTATTGGGTTGATTTTATAATGAACTTGTTATATGATGGTGTTAGGTTTTTAATGGATTGTATGTGTTTTGTTATAAATGATATATATATATATATATATTCTATGTAGGATGGTCTGATTGATGATAATGTAAATGATGGTGAGGATGATATATATATATATATATATATATATATATATATATAAAAAATATATATATATATATATATATATATATATATATATATATGAGGAACCAGGTATAGGAGAGGATGTGAAGGGAAAATGCAGAAGGGGAAGAAGAGGAGGGATCAAAAGAAGAGGGGTCAGAAGAAGAGGGGTTAGAAGTTGATACATAAGGGTATATGTCAGAGGGAGAGGAAGTACAAGAAGTAGCAGGAGATGATGTTGTTAGGGATGTGGAGGCCAGGTGGAGGGGTCTAGAGTTACGACGACCCGAGGAAGAGGGTTATTGTGAGCACTGTTTTTGGTGAGGAAGAGGATGTACCATCCCCTGCCGTGGGAATGGTTTTTCACAGTTGAGATGATGTCGATAGTTATTTTTGGAGGTATAGTAGGCAGAGGGGATTTGGTATTATTCGGTCTGCGTCTGGGTGGATAAAGGTGAAGACAGAATTGGGAGATGGAAAGTGTTGTAAACAAAAGAGGAATGCGACGTGGACTTGTGAGTGTTATGGACAACCATATAGGATGCATAAAGTTGATCCTCTCAGGGAAGGATTGGAGCAAGATGAGGAGACAGTTGTGAAAAGGAAAACAAAAAAGTGTGGATGTGGTGTAGAGTTGTATGCTAGTGTTAACGAGGAAGGGAATAGGGTGGTTCGGAGGGTGAAGTTGGAACATGATGGACACATTGTGACACCAAGAAAGTCCAAGGATGTGTCGATGTATCGCAAACATGAGTGGATGGTTAAAAATAAACACTTGGTTAATTAGACATGTGTTGCAAGGAAGTCCAGGGTGAAGGTATCCCAGATGTATAGCACATTTGCACGAGAACGTAATGAAGTTGAGGAATTGGAATTTACCCAAAAAGACTTGGAGAATGCAGTAGCTGACCATAAGAAGCTCGAGCTGACAGAGAGTGATGCAAATGGTATGATTGAATATTTTAACAAAACGAGTGCGGACAACCAAAACTTTTTCCACCTTTGTAGGTTTGGGAAGGATGGTGCATTACAGGATGTTGTGTGGGTTGATGCTAGGAGTAGAGCTGCGTACGAGGAGTTTAGTGATGTTGTTTGTTTCGACAGCACGTACCTAACAGACAAATTTCACCTCCCCTTTGTTGTATTCATTGGGGTCAATCATCATGGGCAGAGTATATTGCTTGGATGTGCATTGATCTCTTGGGAGACTGCTGAGACTTACATGTGGGTCATGAGGACATGGCTGCATTTTATGGGTGGTAAAGCTCCCATATCGATCCTTACCGATTTAGATGCTTTGAATAGGAAAGCTGTGTATGTGACTATGTAAGGCATGTGCCACATGTGGTGCATATGGCACATTCTTCAGAAATTTAGCAAGGACCTTGGTAAGTTGGAGTTGTACGATGCTATAAAGGATGGGTTAGAAAATATCATACATAGTAGTTTAGAGGTGGAGGAATTTGATGCTCCGGTGGTTAGAAGCTATAAGGTTTTATAATTTGGAAGAGAATACTTGGCTGGAAGGTATGGTTATTGCACTTTATAATTTATGATATTCAATGTTTGTCATAGATTAAATAAAAAATCAGTAAATTATTAAGTATCTATATGTGCTTGTTTTGGGGTATGATGGTGTTTGGTCTTAAATTATTTTTAATTGGTTGGAGCTAAAGTATCGGTTGGTTACATGGTCTGATATGCTATGTCATGTATGGTGTGCTTGTTTATTTTTGAAGTTTTGTTATAGATCTGCTGGTTTGTTGTGAGTTTGTGCTCTGGTGGATAGTATTTTTGTTACAGGCTTGATTTGATTTTTGGGGTTTGACTGTTATGATGTTTTTGTAATAATAGGGCTTTACGACGAGAGGAACATGTGGATCCCATCATATTTAAAGCACTTTTTCTGGGCGGGAATGAAAACAACACAACGTTCGGAGAGTTTCAACCATTTCTTCAAAGGCTATGTCGACAAGAATACAACTTTGTCGGAGTTCGTGCTTCGTTACTGCGATGCTATGCAGATATGGGCTGAAGCTGAAAGAATTGCAGATGCGAATACACTTCGGTATGTCAAACATTTGGCAACTGACTTTCTTGCAGAAGAGTTATTTCAAAAGTGCTACACCGATTCGAAAATCAAAGAAGTGCAACGTGAGTGTACGAAGTCTTTATATGTGCATTGCTCGGATCAAATAGAACTTTGTGAAAACAATATTGAGTTCATTCTTGAAGATTGTGTATGGATCAAGCCTAAAGGAGCAAGGAAAGAAAGTGGCACTAAAATTTGGAGATGCTATAAGGTTCTTTACGATGCTCATTCTTGTGAGGCGTGTTGTGATTGTAAACATTTTGAGTGTCATGGCATCATTTGCCGACATATGAACCACGTGTACGACCTTAACAGTGAAGGTATTGTCCCGGAGAAATATGTTCTTCGACGTTGGAGGAAGGACGTTCAAAGGAAACATACAAGAGTCAAAGTTGCTTACCTTGACCCTTTAAAGACAGATGAAGTGCGGCAGTTCAGAAGCCTTAATCTGACTTCTTAATCAAAAGTTATGGAAGTTTTAAAAGCGCGTTTTCGTATAAGACAAACCGCGTCGCGCGTAAGTCTTAAAGTTGCGCTTGGCATTCCAGCGCAACTTTGAGAGTTGCGCGCGCCCCCTGATGCCGCGGCTCTAAAAACTCTAAACCTAGATTCCTATGTCTATAAATAGGGTCTTTGCTTAGACCTAATTACGACAGAAAAATCAGAAATCAAACCCTAAAGTTCTAAAAACCCTAATCTCTCAAATTCTCTTACTATCATACCACTTTTCTCCTTTCTTCCCAAATACTCTTCAACCTTAATCCATCCATTTGAAGTCCTTGGAGGTACTAAGTAGAAAGGAAGTCCATGAACATCTAAAACGGAGATTTAGTAAGTAAAGAAGAACGGTTAGTTTCCTGAGCACTTAGATAAATCACTTTTATTTTCTTGTTTAACTAACTTTAATCAATTAATTCGTGTTGTTTGATCACTTTAAATAAAATTTAATTAATTAATTTTACATAGTATCTTGCGTCAATTAAAGACTAGAATTGGAATAATTAATTGTTGTTTTATCACTTAAGTGAAGGCGAATATTGTTTATTTTGTTTTTTTCATGAATTTTTTTAAAAAAGAATAACGACATTCGTTGTAATGTAATTTTTTTTATGATTAATGTTTTTAAATAAAATCAACTAACTTAGTGTTTAGGAATTAAGTTGCATATATTATTTGGTGATGAAATTGTGAAAAAGGAAGAGCTAATAGAGGCCCCACTAGGGCTAGGATTGCGATTCTCAAAGAGAACGTTTTTCTAGTACCATCGCTCCCGAACTCATTTTTGGTTTAGTAGATCAATTTGGGCATGGGTAAAATTATGATTCATGCTAAATATCCTTGGAACTCTACTTGGGAGAAAGGCGTGAACGAGGTTTATGAGTTTTCCTAAAACTCATTGACGACTCTCTATTGGTTACTTATGAAAAAAAAAATAATGACGGACTCAATTCTAATTCAAGGTCTCCCAAACAGTCAGAAATTCAAATTCTAACACACCCTAAAAATTGTAAAGTCCTAGGCTTTTAAAGGGCCATGAGCATAGAGGAAGTGGAATCCCCAACGACGGGCTACCCTCCTCATACCTACATTCCCTAGTTTTCATCCTTTAACACGTTTTTCCCCCTCTGAAAGGATACCATTTAGTACCGCGCCACGTGTTGTGGTACCTTTTCCCCTCAGCGACACCTTATTTCTAGGGTTCTGGACCTCATTCCTCATTTTTTGGCTATAAATATGAATCTCATTTACGAGTTTCGGGGTACCAACATACATGCTATTTCTCTCTCATTTCTTTCTCATATAAGCCTTGCCCTCGTAATTTCACCATTATTCATTCCCTAAGCATTCCCAGGAGTTTGTACTTTACCCAAAGTTCTGTACTTATACCAAGGCGTGAAAGGTATAATTGTTATTGGGTTTGGACCAAATCAACTCTACTTTCATTTAGTTAATTTCCATTATTTCCATATATTAATTGTTATGATTTATGGTTAAATTGCTTCTAATGTTATTGCTTATTCTATTGTTGTATTGATCACCGTATTACATGTTTACAGGGAATATGTAATTGAAAATCACGAGTAATAAGATAATTTGGACAATCGGTTTAGGTTCCTTTTAATCATGTTGTTTAATCAAAGTGATCACTAATATTTAGAATTATGTGTGCATTAATATTCAACCTATTTAGCCTAATTTAGTTAGGAACAATGGAAATTGAATCTTTGTTTGTATGCCTTTGAGATTGTAGGAAATACTTTTCACTATAAGAATGAAGTAGAGGTCAATACGGGCAAAACGGATTCCATGACTCACTTCGTACCGTCATCCCCGATCCTCCATTTGTGGTTCCGGATCATATGGAGTTAGTAATTTCATGGATTATGAGTGGGGTGTAATCTTCACGGGTCAATCGTTGTTGCCTTTCGTTGTCCCTTATCGTGGTTGCCTTAAATGATCCGTGAAAGATTTACAAGTTCCTTAAAAACTTGTTGGCGGCTCCCTACTTTTATTGTCCCTTATCTCGTTATATGTCAAATCTCACATCCTATGATTGCCAAGCATATTCACAACATGCTCAAGTAAGCGCGCTTCGATCGACGCCTAAAGTTCGATATTTTAATTTACGCGAGCATGTTTACCCGATTGATTATATGCCAATTTTATAATATATGATACTATTCTGCTATATATAATGACTGGTATGGCCTTGTAGGTTATAAAATACTATTTGCACATCGTGATTTATTTTTGTAATCTAAATACGGTCTGTCTACCATTAAGTATTTTTGTAATATTTTACTTAAGTAGTAGATAAAGTAGTATTACATGTTGCAGTTAATCCAAGAAGACCATGAAGTGGAGGTCCGAAAGACGAATCAAGAATGGTGATCCATGAAGATTTGTGTGGGAGCTTTTACTTTTATTATTTTTCTTAGGATTAGGGGCCATACTACGTTTTGTTTATTTATGTATTGGTAGATTATTTATGCTAGTTTTTATTAATGATGATGTTGTACTAGAGTTCACTAAATAATCACAACATAATAAATCTAGGTTCCGATAATATTAAGATTGCTTTTCCAATTTAATGCCTAAGAACCCTTCGATCATAAGTGAAGGGTTATGCCACAGTAGGGTGTCATTTATTATCATAGGTAATTTGGGGTAAATCACGTTTTACACATTCAATAGGTTGTGCTCCACAAGATTACCTAAAGAGTTTAGAATCTTAAAGCAAAGGGTAATAATTAAACATGTGATGATCATTAATTATTCAACCAAGAGTTACAATTAGTTAAGAGTTTACTTACCTTGAAAATGTAATGTTTGATGGTAGAGCCACAGTCTGGTCAACTATTGCACAAATAAAGGGTCTTGGAATCACTTAATTCAAATGGGATAATTAATTTTGAATAAGTGCTTTAAAGTTTCCTATTTAGTTTATTTATAGAGCTTTAATGTTTATTAAACATAATTATTGAACTTTACCTTATTTTGTTTGTAGATGAATAGCAATAATGACAACACTAATTCACCACTTAAAATGAAAACAAGGCACAATATCATAAACTTTAAGGATTGGGAAAACAAACTTAGAAGTATTCTAAATAGCCAAAAGCTCGAAGCTCGTTTGTATTTTCCAATTGAAAGTAAATTCAGTATTGGCATGACTATAGAAAAACATTTGAAATTAAAGATGTTTCAGACAACGAAAAAGTCTAAGTCACTCATCTTATCTTCTATTCCAAGAAGTTGCATTGGCTAGAAAATTTGAACACTATAGGCCGACTATGCTACTTTATTGCCTACATGATGATATATGTAGAGGGAATCCGTGCCCATATGGTAATGAAAGCATTGGTGGGAATGTCAAGGAAATCATTGACATGATTCCAAGAATCGATCACTCTTGAAGTGACAATTTGAGGTATGAAGTTTACCAAACTCATTGCAAGATTCTTGCAAAGAAGCTCACACCAAGTCATTCACTTAAGATTCATGTGGGAGAAATGATCTAATTATTCAACCATATGAACTTATTAGGGAGACCCTTCGATGATATCGCGGCTCATGACACTATTCTATATTCACTCCATAGTGGCTTTGACATCAACAAACTCATTCATGATGATGAAGGCTCTATTGTCAAACTCATTGATTTGCTTACAAATCACACAGAGAAGACTTGAATAAAGATGAGCAATTTTTACTATTGTGGCAAATGGATTAATCAAAGGCCAGAGTATCCCCACTACAAGGACATAAAGATGGAAGGTAAGGAGTTGCCTAACATTCTTGTTGTAAAAATTAATCTTACTTCCTCTTCCACTTGGGTATTTGGTACTGGTTGTGGTGGTCACATTGTTAATGATGTGCAGGGTCTTCGAGTAAGTAAGAAGCTAGCTAAGGGAGAGATTGTGCTTCAAGTAGGAAATGGAGCAACAGTTGATGCACTTGCTATTGGAAACTACCACCTGAAATTCTTGTCTGGTCTCGTTTTGGTTCTTAATAACTATTATTATGTTACAACAATAACGAAAAACATGATTTCAGTTCCTGTTTTAGATACTGAAGAGTTTTATTTTGAAATTAAATACAAGTGTTGTTTTATTTTGAAGAATAATATGTTATATGCCAGTGCAAAGTTAATTAATGGTTTGTAATAAAGTCAAAGTAGTGCATTGGCATGTGTGCAATGTTGACTGTGTCATGTATTCTGGGATAGAGGGAGTATTAGATAATCTTCAAATTTACTCACAAAAGTAAAAGAGTCATGTGAGATCTTGTTTAATTCGTCTCAACAAATAATCTATTAATATTCAATCGTTATCATTTTAAAAAGTATGTAATGAAAGTTATCAATAGTCAAATAGGTGTATTGGCAAACGTGTAAAAGTCAAAACGTATACAATAAAAAGGACGAAGGGAGTATTGTACTTTAGATATAGGGTAATTTTGTGAAAAATTAAGAAAACTTTACCAACAACTACCATTATAATGACTACTTTTGAGAACAACTACCATTTATTTATTTTTTTTTTAAAAAAAAAAATCTACCACAAAAACCTTGAATAACACAACTACATTTAATTTCTTGGCAGTAACCTCCAATTGAGGGAGCTAAGAAATCGGCCGTTTGACGGGCGTTAGAACGGTCGCACATTCCACACTCAATAAAATAAATTTATAAATCCTAAAACTAACCCCTAAACAAGTCTAGTGGTAAGTTCGGAGTCGAACCACAAGGAACGGTAATGCTAGATTGTTCTTAATCTAATGCCTAAGCTATGCCGAAGTCGATTTACGGATAAAGGACACTACAACTACACTAAAACACATATAAAGAACAAGGTATGATAAAGTCTACTAGGGGAAAAGATCCACTTTGAACAATTAACAAGTTAATGGGAATCGATTTGATAATCAATCATGCAAAGAAAGAATTAAAATGGGAAT